ATCTGTGAACAATCACTATCGCACAATCGCAAATAACCTGCAAACACTGCAATTGTCAAAACGAGAAATAAACAAAGTCACGTGCAGAAACCCTATAATACGATTGGTTGGTAGATATGTCAACAGCGCATAGCGTATCGTAGACGAAAGCTCACATCCCATAACTTTGAGAATACACATTTTACGGGTCATGCGATGCTGGTGTGATGTGATCTATCGCTCGAGAGAAGTGATTTCTCACTTCTCACGATCTCGAGTATAGGGCCCCTGGACTGGTCCCAAATCGTCAACAAAAAAAACAAAACACCGTATTTACTAGTTTCCGAACTGGTTATAAAAAAACGTATTGCGCATGATTCTGACGGTTCTAAACCTTTTATGTAACTTTTTATCGTGGGTAACGGGAACGGAAACTGGTAAAGGTGAGAGAGACTCGGCAAACACTTTAGATCAACATGTTGCACTGCAGTGGTTGCTTAGTCTCTCCCACCTTTACTGTTCAGATTCCTGTTCCCGTTCTTGTTACCGGGCTATTGTGCAGCGGGCTTTACTTTTTTACTATTTACATTACATTAGCATTACAGAATTATTCTGTCAAAATTTGTAGTATATTATTACTAAATCATAGACATAGGTATTGCGTCATTGGATGACGTCACTCTATTAACGGGAGCGCAATAGGGAACCGTCTGACGGGACTCTAGACACGGCGTTTTTTTTACCATAAACATAACCATATAAAATGCATAACATAACCTCTGTACACTTACAAACAACACTAACAACCAGTGTTGCCAACACTAGGTAAGTCCATTCCACTAAATGGGAGATCAAATTCCACTAGAATTCCACTAAATTTTTTAGTAAAAATAATCACTCTTTAATATATAAAATAGAATGTAACATTGATAAAATTTAAAAGAACTAAAAAAATTACATAAATTTATAATAAACAAGTGTTGGGAAAAACGAAAATGGAGTGAATCTTTATTAGTGTTATTATTAATAAAGTAACTGCAGTTACTTTATTAATAATAACACTAATAAAGATTTATTGACCAATATATTAATATACAAAAAAATATTAATATGTATTTAAATAAAAATATTAAAATCTATATCTATATTGAAATCAGAACTGAAACTTTCATTAGTTTTTATTTGTTTGATTACATTTTTTGGAATATCATAATTAAAAACAGCATTCTTCTCTTTAAATTGCAATCCTGACCTTATTTGAAGTACCGTAAACACGGGTGACTTTGCACCCTGCGGGTGACTTTAGCCCTTTTATGAAAAAATTTTTCGCGCTCGATAAAATTAACATTTAGAATTTGTTGGTCTAAACCTGTTAATTGAGCGATTCTATTGAGTTTATATTACAGGAAAATCAGTGTTAGTGCAAAACTCTTAAAAATACACGCGTTTCAATTTCTATATTATGCGCAATTCTTTGGAATGATGATCCTTGGTTAACTACAGGTCGATTTTTTATTGTTTTTATCGGTAATCCCTTGCAATTGCTATATGTGGCTGCTAACATATATATATATATATATACATATATATGTCTAATAAAAATAAAATATAATATTGAGTTAATTTTATACGGAAAATACACCGTGAGACAAAGTAACCCGCAACCAGGGGGTAACTTTGCACACCCAGTTTTTAATTTTTATTTTTGAAACTCAACACTATGTAAGATTATAACATAGTTATTATGAAAGAGCAACTCAAGACTCAAATTTTGGTATACAATATTTAATGTTTATGATTGTTAAAACTACAAAAATGTTAAGATTAAGTTTGAAAGTGAGCCAAAGCCACCCGTGTTTACGGTATGTCAATTGCATTTTATTTAGTTTCGATTTAATAATATTCATTTGACTTCTGCGTTCGAATGTGGAAGAACTAAAAAAGATAAGGCAAAGTCTGACAAGTCCTTGAAAGGATTTTCTCCATTACTCAATCTCCAACACTCCGTTCAGATTAAAGAAGAAGAAGAATTATAAATATCTTTGGTTCTCAAGGATTTTACACAAAATTCTTGTTTGGTTCTGCCGCTCGATGGATGATTTTTATAAAAAAATTTAAATGAATCTAACAATAAGGAAAATTACCCATTTAAAATTTGTCATGCAAATGTTTTTTACTTGTACTAGATTTTCTACTATAAAAAACCCATTTCACCAGATTTTCTACTATACCACCAACTGCCAAATTTCACCACTATATGGTATCCGCCACAGAACATAAGGTATCCGCAATACACCAGAAGGTATCCGCAATACACCAGATTTAGTGGAAATTCCACCAAGTTGGCATCACTGCTAACAACGGCAAGGACGGTGCTGCAGTAAAATTTGGCGTAGCCATAAAATTTTTAAAACCACGCCGGCGGCGCGCGCCGTAGACTCTTGTTTTTAAACACAAAACAAACCTGTCGTTTTGAGGTTATGACAATGGCTATAAAATTATTGAATAAATACTAGTTTCAGCTTTTACTTCACTTCGATTCAATACACAATAGGCGTTACGCGTCTACTCCAATAATTATAATATATTGGAGTAAATGAGGGGAAAATTAAAACACCACGTAAAATAAATATATTTGACTTAAGTCAATGAATAAAACATATTTTTCTACTCCCACCTTTAAAACGTACATGTTTCCATGGCACTAAGTGACCTTTTAAATACACATTGACAAGTTGTGGCTTTATGGCGTTTTAGTCACGGGCTGAAGTTAACAACAGGTTTTTAGTCACGGGCTGAAGTTAGCTTTAAGTTAGTTGACAGTTGTCAAATGTCATTCAATCGTTAAAATAAAGTGCCCTTCTTGTAAAATGTGAAAATTATTTTATTATCGCAATACAAAAATACAAAAGCATTAAATAGTTTCTTAACGCCAATATTTGAAAAGTTTATATGAACATTGCTCGGACTCCACCATAAAACATTTTCTTTACTTTCACTTTGAAAAACTGTTAATTGATATTCAAGGAATACATTTTGATAACCTTTATAACACATAAAAAATTGACATTTGACGGTAACACAGATTCCCCTATTGTTTTATAGATGGCGCTATATACAATTTTTTTATTTAAATCAGTTTAAGATAATAATAAGTATTTGCTGTAGAAAAAGTATAGTCAAGTATTAATGTAATATTTTTTTTAAATCCTCAATCTGAGACTTTGCAAAATTTGGCAACGTTGTAAAGTATCCGGAGCAACGCATTTCTACTTTCCTAAAAAAAATTTAGAAAATCAAAAAATTTGCAATATTTATTGCATTTTTACGATTTTATCGAAAAATCCCTAGTTCTGGTAATTTTTGCCAAATTTGGCAACGTTGCGTTTCTACTCTACTCATAAAAACTTCAAAAATCTCAAATCACGAAAATTTTACGCATATTTCGAAATAGTATATTAAAGTACAAGTTGCAGAAGGCCACATATTCTCGCACGAATTCGAAATTTGGCCTCGAGCGACGAAGGAGCGTGTGGACGAACGAATGAGTGCGAGAATAGCCTTCTGCAACGTGTGATTTATACTATTTTCTCGATTTTAACTTTTATTTAGGTTTTTTTAATTGTTTTGTGGTCGTTGTTAGTTGGGGGATTTTTCTCGCAAAATGTCAGTTGGCAACACAAATTTTGTGTCACAAAATGAAAATATTTGTTATCCTGCACAAGTACAACCTGAACTGCACTTTTTCACATTAAACTTAAAATTTTGCATTAAAAGGCTTCATTTTCAATAAAAGTGTAGTTCAGGTTGCACTAGTGCAGGATAACAAACAAAGCTATTATAAATAATCCTAAAAGTAATGAATTTGAGGTTATTAAACAGTTTGACATTTTAGGGGTACCAATACTTAAAAACTAAATGTTACCAAAAATCGTTTAAGAATGAGCTTCATTCTTCAACGATTTTGCGTGCGAGAATAGGACATTCTTACATAAAAATCGAGAAAATCTCTTAATCTGCGATTTCCCACAATATTTGGCAACTTCGCAAAATATCCGGAGTATCGCGTTTCTGTTATTCTGATACAAATTTTCGGTTCGATTTTTCGGATTTTGTACCAGGATCGTATAAAATTGAGGAGGTAATGTTTGCGGAGTTGCCAGATTTATGAAAACTCAATCGAGAAAATTTTCTAAAATTCGATTTTTGGTTTTTGGATCAGGATAACAAAAACGCAATGAGCTAATATATCTGTGGGTGTGCATTTTAGCCAACACAATCTTGCAAAAGCGTATACCCGTTAACCTTAAATATATTACCTGAATTAGTTCAAATGCGTTTTAAAGATCTACTAAAAAAATCCTTTTTTTTAACTAGCTTATGCCTTTTACCCACAGATTCTTGCTCGGGATACTTTGTAAAGTTGCCAGGTTGTGCAAAAAGTCCCAGATTGAGGGAAGTTTCCAAAATTTTTAACTTACCCATTAGCTTCTAAAAGGGTTTTGGGAGTAAATAAAAAACATATTTTTATTTAAAAAAACAATATATTAATACCATTACATATGTTACATTATTATGAAAGGGGGAGTAAATGTATATATATATATATAATTGGAAAATTCTACTCATAAGGTACGTATGACTTGTTGCATTCACTCATTTGTTTATATGTATAAAAATTATTACGCATTTTAATTAAAATAAAAACCATTATTTTTGGTCTTATAATACATTTTTTTAAGCTATATATTTACAAGATAATACGTTAATGTTAAATAACTAATAATAACCAAACTTTACAACAATATAGGATACAATTTGATCTAAATTACATAAGTACCAAGTACCGTATTTGATATTACTCAGTCTTAAATAAAAAACAATGAAAATAAATACTTTCAAAAAAATAATTCGTTCTTTTGTGTCTACACGTGTTCCTCTTCTATGTCAAATCGGCTTTCATCTGTAATCGGGGATCGACAAAACGTCAAACTCAACGATCGGCAGATGTTTATTGCTACTCATGTGTACCCCGGGTTGCCTAGGTTGCTCGAAGTGCTCGAACGACTTGCGTTCGACAGTCTAATAATAAAACGAAAAAATGTCAAATTTTGCAATTATGTTGCTCTATCTATGTATATTATGGTCTAAGGATTGCTTTATCTACTTGGTTTGTGGTTTAAAGTTGGAGTGTGGAAAACTTACCTTCTGACGTCATTGGACAACTTGTCGCCTTTGTTTCCGGCCTTGTGATTAGCCAAGAAGGTGTTCACCGATTCGTCGGAACTGTATGTGTCTTGCTCGCTAGAAAAAAATAAAACAAATTGGAAAAATTCATATTTTTTGTAAACAAACCCGTTTTAACTGTCGAACAAGATAGGTATATTTAAGAATATTAAAAACTTAATTAGGAATAGGTATTAAAAACTCAATTAAGAATGTCAGGCTATAGACTACGGCTATATTTAAGAATGCCAAAGCACAATAAAAAATGTCAACAAATATGTAAAAAGTACCTACTTATTAATATCAAGATATATTTAAATTAAGGCTGTCAATTTCTGAAGTAATAAACGGTTAACCGGTTCGACAAGTTTTGACCGGTTTCGGTTTTAACCGGATTTTTTAAATTATTATAACCGGTTCGGATATCCAGTTAACCGGTTAACCAGTCCGATTATCTGGTTAATCGATCTGATCAAACCGAGCCGCTCGAGCCGGACCGGTTAGACCGGGTCGGCGGTTTAACCGTAACTGGTTTAACTGTAGCCGTCACCGGTTTAATCCTAGCAAATTCTTCGTTTTTAATAAAAAGGGATCAATTCACTACCCCTCTCACCAGGCAGTATATGATTGAATTTTTTAAAATAGATACTTACTCAATAAAAATGAAATTAGAATAATAAAAATACCACTAATTTTATTAAAAACTGAAATACAAAAACATAAACATTATTGAAGTTTCAAAATAAATTATAGTTAGGTGATAAAAAATAATAACAAAACTCCCTATTTTTTTATTATTGAGTTTTGATGTAAAAAAATCAATTCATCAGCTTTTCCCGGTAGCAAACAGTTTCTTTTCGCCGAAACTATGTTGCCTGCACTGGAAAACATGGAAAAACTATAGATTTCCTTATTTCTTTTAAAATGTTTATATTTGTTGGTATTTTTTTAATAAAAATACTTTTGTTTTACTAACTTTTAAATGTTTAAGTTTAAAAGCATTAATGTTTATCAATATTGATTTTTTCACTTTAATATAACATCGATATTGTGTTTTCAATATATCATTTGATATCGATGTTTTAAGAAATTTGCGCATCCCTAGTTAGAGCTCAAACTATGACTCGTTTGTTTATGTTTACGGTCGCGCTTAAACCGGTTTTAGTTACTGTTAAACCGGTGACAGCATTAATCGGTCACGGTTACGGTTAAACCGGTTACGGTTAAACCGATTATGGTTAAACCGATTACGGTTAAACCGATCACGGTTAAACCGATCACGGTTAAACCGGTTACGTTCTTTAACGGTTTTTGGTCCTACAAAACCGGTTAACGATTGACCGGTCACGGTTACCAGCCTTAATTTAAATGTATCAACACAAACCTTAAGAACGTTAAACTTACTTTGTTAGGTCAAAAACACAATTAGGAATGGGAAAACAAACCTTAAGAACGTTAAACTAACTTTGGAAGTTCTTAAACACAATTAAGAATGGAAATAAAAACCTCAAGACCATCAAACTCAGTTATAAACGTTATTGTGTATTTGATATTCCTATGAGTTTAACGTTATTAAGGTTTGTGTTAAGAATGTTAACAATAATTTCAAATTGACAAAAATTAAGAATGTTAAATTTACTTTAGAATTTTAAAACCACCATTAAAAATGTCAGCACTAAACTTAAGAAAGTCAAACTTATTTAAAAATCAAATACACAATTAAGAATGCCAGCACAACCCATCATTTCAGAATAAAAAACACAATGAAAGGGTTCAATGCAATAACCGTTCAAGTCCATTTATTAAGCAAATTTTGTTAACATTGTATTATTATTATTAATCAGCTCCCTATTGTATAGAATAAACAATACACAGATGTTTAGCCTACCATATAATACTTTGCAAATAACGAGACTCAATTGTCATGGACTTGACTTGACCAGCCTGAAGGCTGGCAATAACCATGGTTATTGCACTGGACTCTTCAATTAAGAATGTCTAGTTATGGACTTGGCAGTTTATTGCATTGGACTCTTTAATTAAGAATGTCTATACCTACTTTAAAAGTGTCAAAAACAACAATAGGAATGTCAACACATACTTTTAAAACGTCAAAATTATGGAAGAATGTCAAAAACACACTTAAAAATTCCCAGAACGTTAAAAATAAAACAAATTTTAGAATGTCAAACAGACAATTAGGCGCGTTTGCTGCTTTTAAAAACCCCTTTGGAATGTTAAAACCATGTTTTAAATGCAGAATGCCACAAACGCAGTTTATTTATTTATTAAATATAACACTGTATCATAATTTAACAAAACAGTTTTATATCTGGTACCGTCAAAATAATTAATGTCAAAATCACAATTTTCCTATAATGTAAATAATTTTGTATCGTTTCAAGACAATTATTACAAATCTTTGGTTTTTACAAAAAAAATTTTTCAGAACATGCTATATAAATTTTCCCACTTACCTATCTGATTCACCGCTGATACTGTCATCCATATCGCCCTGTATGGCGCTCTGCAAATCCTCTATTCTCTTCATGGCCAGCTTCAAGTCCTGTCTAGCAGCTGCGGTTTCAATTTCAGCTGTTTCCAGCTTCTTCTCAACCTCCTTTTTCTTCTGCAAAGCCTCAGCTTCCTTGGCCAGACACTTGTTGAGTTCCTCTTTTAGTTCTCTAACATTTCTTTGCAACTTTCTGCTTTGTTCTTGAGAGGTTTGTTCTTTCAGACGAAGGGTCGTCATTTCAGATTGCAATTTTTCCACTGCTTCTTTTAGACGCGCGATTTGCACCTCGAGGCGAGAACGCGTGGTTTGTTCCAGTTCCAATTTGGATTCCAGTTCTTTTACTTTCATTTCCGATCTGGAGGAAAAACAAGAATGTTTATAATAATATATTTTGTGTAAAAAATATTAAATAAGTGTATACTATTTATTTATTAAGTATGGAATATTAAAAACTACGTGGAAAAAAATATGAAAAAAATATTTTCTGTTTAAAAGATATTTTAGGATGTCAAAATCATATTTAATAACGTCAATAATACTCAAAAATGTCAAAACACATTTTAAACTGACAACTTTAATAAAACATATTAAGATATACCCGAAGATAATAATATATTATCTTTGGATATACCAATAATAACGTCAAAAGCACAATATAAAATGTCATAAACCTTTTAAATGGTTATTAAAAATGTCAAACTTTCTGATGATTGTCTTAACATATTTAAGAGTGTCAAGACGTATTAAAGAAGGTCAAAAGCACAATATGGAATGTCACAAACATTTTAAAATTTTAAAACCATAATTAAAAAGTCAAATTGTCTTTGGGTTGTCTTGACCTATTCAAAAAATGTCAAAAGAAAAATATAGAATGTCAAAAGCACAATATTAGAATGTTTTATATATGATTAAGAATGTCAAACTTTCATTGGATGTTGGCATGTTTAAGAATATTAAAAACAAACATAATATTATTATGGAATGTCGATAGCACAATATACAGGGTGGGCCATCTAAACGTTTCTTTTTAAAATTACTATTAAAACTACACCGTTGAATATTTGTAAATAATTGTTGCTTTGGAAAACTTTTAGTTAAATCGCCGCAGCTTGGCAATACCATTCTCTTCACCCAATTTTACAGTACATTTTCGATTGTTTGTGGCTCTATTTGACGAATAGCTTGGCAAATATATTCCTTACTAAAATTGATTTTAGATTGTTGGAGTACCAACCAGTGGCGAATTTCTAAATATGCTTCTTAGGCGGAATTTTTCTACGTTCTCCTGAAAATTAGCTAAATTGTAGGAGTAAACTCAGTGAAGCATTTCTTATATGATAGTATATTTTATATTTATACATATGAATTGTCATTGACGTCACGTTTGACCAAAAATGAACATATTTTATGTCAAGCACTTCCTAACGCGACAGCTCAAAAACTGCATGAAAATAAAGACTTAAATGTAGTTATTTTTAAGCAACTGCGTTTGTAATAAAGTATGGTCGAAAATTGGCAAAACTTTGACCAGTTTGCTTATGCCTATTAGCGAGTATATAAATAAATGAATATTTAGGTTAATAGGCTATTTTAATTTAATTTAAATTTAAACAATTGGTATGCTCTGTGCAAATAGACGTGAAAAACTTGCTAGTTACATATTTAAAAAATATATATAATCACCTGTGCAATTAAACGCGTGTTAAGTTTTAAACAACACATTTTAAATACTAAATACGCACTGTTGTTCCCAAAAATTGAAAGATTTCAATATAAACGAGAAAAAGCTTCAGACTTTTTTTATTTCTTTTAATATTCTTTCAAATTTAATTAATATTTATAAGTACTCGAGATTTGTTCAGATATTTGCCCAAATAAACGGCAAAAATGTGTCATCGTTTTTTCATGTCCAAACATTGACAACATTATACCAACGGTATAACCTACCTAACTTAACCTAAACTGTTTTGCATTTTATTTGTCAAGATTTGATCGTTTATTGTTGGCCATCGCGATTGCAGAAGAAAGGTAGGAATATACCCAGATAGCAATCGTGCGATTGCACAGCGTGAGAACGCACACGTGTGGTCGATTTCACACGCATATGAGTAGTAGAGCCGTGCGCGCCCACGCGATGAGCGCACGACGTGATCAATGATCTCTTAAACTGTGCTTATCAAAAAAACAGTCGATTTTGTTTTTATTCACCTTATAATTACAAAAATAATGAAATAACGTAAAATTGCAACTTGCATTGTTTCACTAGGTAAGTTCAAATGACATGCATCAACTGCAATCGGGTTGTGTTTGTATTGTATTTATTTTTCTATTGTGTTTGTTGTGTCCACGTGTTATTATAGTTAGGTATACATTGATAAAAGTTATTAAGGATTTCAGGTAAGTGTGAAAAATATAAAGATTAAATCATAACAAGCATTTTCCCATCATAATTGAAGGGGTTAGAATAAAAAGGGTATAAGTAACATTTTCATTGTTTGGAGATATTTGAAGTTAAAGTTATGTTACCATAAAAAAGTGAATAATTTTGTTTAGTATTGTTTTTCTACTGGATAATAGAGGTCGCTAGAAGTATGAAAATTACTTAAATCCTTTTCATTTCGATACGTCGGAACCTTATCTTTCACAAAACGAACTTATCTCCTAAATTAAAGAAATTGCACTTATACCCTTTCTATTCTAACCCCTTCAATTGATTATTTTTCTTGGAATTTCACAATAATTTAAATTATGCCGTTTAAAGACGCACGCGTGCACTCACTGTGCGCGCATCGTGACTACATTTTGCTATCTGGGTAAAGTCATATCATGTAATTATTGCCGAAAATTGACCTGATATGGCTCTCTGGGTAGTAGACAAAACATACTTGTCAACAAAATGTGCAACTGGATTAGATATCGGAATCTACTTGATATTTTTCTAAATATCGAATGACAGTAAAGAGATATTGTTCTTCAGAACGTTCTTTCTTATGCTTGAGACGAATTAAAACCTTCTTTATTACAACCATTTAAAATATTTTTATACTCAAAAATTTAAATCTAATATATTTATCCCCTTCTCCATTTTTTTATAACTAAGCCATGGCTACAGTGCATGGCTACAGTGCACTGTAGTGAAAGCTTCGTTTTTTCCCCATAAGCAGACAGAAATGTTGGAACCGTGAGTGTCCGCTTATTAGAGCTTTCATGTACATTGTACAATGTGGCGGTTTCTAAAAAAATCGGTTGTTTGTAAATAAAAATATAAAAAATAAGCTTCATCTGATTTAAAGCCTATGTAGAGAAGCTATAACGAAGGGGATCATTTTTCTTTAACTCTTAAGTCAATTGCACCTTATGAGCAAATACTCCAATGTCTTTATTCAAAACTTTGACGAGCTATTCGTCAAATCGAGTCACAAACAATCGAAAATGTACGGGCGGATCCACAAATTTCGTTTGGGGGTTCACGTCACATACCGTGGGTTGAGTTTAACAAAACAGTATTATTTTTTTAAGTTAATTATTTTGTTAGGTTGGTGATTTAAAGATAAAAATAAAAATACAATAATAAATTGGTCGTGGCCCCTATATGAACCCCCATGGATCCGCGCTTGAAGACACGGCGGCTATTTAACTGAAAATGTTTTCCATAAATAATCGGAAGGTGTACTTTCTTGAATAAGGTAATAATCATTTAAAAATACCATCAAGTGGCCCACCCTTTATAAGTCAATTACATTTAAAATGTAAAAAAGTATTTTTTTTATTAGTTGACAAAATAACTTGAAAATACTTAAAAAACGTAATTTTTTTTAAAATTACAATAAAAAAGCATAACTCTTGCTAGAAAATCAATAAAAACACAAAAATATCCATCAACAAAGCATTTTATTATTACTCACCTTCTTAACAACATGTTAGAGGATGCATCCCCCATACTTTCAACACTCTCCAACTTTGTAGCCAATTCGGACAACTGCTCCTTGAGCTGATTCCTCTCCACCTCCAACTCTCCAACAAGGGAGACCTGCTCCTGCAGTGCCATCTGGTCGAGGGAGTTCTGCTGCACCGCACTTTTATACTTCTTCATCACTTCAGCCAGTTCTTCCTCGTTTTCTTCCAATTGCGATTGAAGATCGGATTTTTCGCGGTTCAGAGCGTTCGCCTTATCTTCAGCGTCCTGTTTTAGCCGGTGGAACTCCTCCAATTGACTTTGGAGATCGGAAACTTCACCTTCAAGAGTTTGCTTGGCTTTTAGAGCTATAGTTTTGGAGTATTCCAGATCCTCAAGTTGGTTTCTGAGTTGACGAATCATATTTTTACCTAAAATTAATTCAACACCCTGTAACTTTTTTCCTGGTTAACATTTTGTGGACAAATTATTTCTCTACAATATTTGTTATTTACATTAACTCTCCAATATAACTCACTAGTGAGATATTGGAATAGGATCCACTCATTACTTTAGGACCAATCAGTTTTCAGAAAACGAGTGTTTTTTTCAGTTTTGCTTCGATAAACCTACTATTTAGGTGACTATTCCACTCATTACTTTATGGACCAATCAGATATCAGAAAAAGAGAGGTTTTTTCAGTTTTGCAGCGACTATTCCACTCATTACTTTATGGACCAATCAGATTTCAGAAAACGAGTGTTTTTTAGTTTTGCAGCGATAAAACTACTATTTAGGTGAAAAAAAACACTTGTTTATAGGAGTTGCATAGCAACAATTGGTTACTATGCTAAAAATAATTGTCACTGTTAACGTTTTTAATTTTAAGATTAAAATGACTATTTCCCTCGTCTTAATTTCCACCAATCACAAACGCGCAATTTTGAATTACAAATGGTTTCTAGGTGAAAAAACTGTGACAGCACCTGTCAGCAGTTTTTTCGAGTTTACCCGCGGCAAAACTTGACAGCTGTTGTCAACAAAAATTGCAATTTATATTTTAATTGTTAACTGTTACTCATGAAATAGTCTTGTCAAAACCATTCGGGCATTTAATTTTTCCTGTGAAAAAAATCGAAAAAACAATGCTAAGTAATATTTTTTTAACAAAATGCATTCATGCAGGTGTAAAAATCCTCCTCTTCGACTCGGATTTTTGTTGCCACCAGCACTAATGCTTCTTGTTAAAATATTACTTGGCGTTTTGGTAAAAAAATCATACAGAAATTGAATCGGCAGTTAATTCTAATTTAAAAAAAAATTTTCGTGAAATAGTCTTGCCGAATACCACTCGTGATAAAATTTTCCCTGAAAAATTTTTTGATTTTTATTTACTCAAGATTTTTCCTTGTAAATTTTGCTCGTGTCATTAATTTAAAACCACTCGTGGTCTTAAAAATTAATGCCACTTGCGAAATTTCCAAAAAAAAACATTTGTATAAAAACTTTAGCGGCGCCTCCCCTCCCTAAATGTTTGCGCCGCTGTAAAATATCTAGGGAGGGGAGGCGGAGCATTGAACCGGCGAGAAACATAACATTTCTGTTTTGCTTTTGCAAGTGTTTGTTTCAAAACGCTTAAATTATTCCCTTAATATCTTATTAATTCTTCAACTTAATATACTAATATTATTTTTTATTGAATAAATTATTCGGATCGTCCTATTCCGTCGATTCGAACCATAGCACAGTGGGCTAGAGAGCCAATTTAACGCGAAGAAATTATTTGGTTAAGTAATTCTTAGTTAATGTTAATTTTTTTGGTCTTATTGATAAAATTTCAATAAAAATTACTTTTTACTACCAATAGAAAAACAAATCGACAATATAATACTTTAACAAAAGTATATTTGTGTGATGGCAAAATTAAGATATATAGTTTTAATGAGTAAATTACAAAAATATAACTGAACTATATAAAAATAAAACCTAATTGTTACGTATGACAGTATTTTCTACAATAATATTACATCTGGGCTTTCAGCGTTTTTCTATATTTTTTGAAAAAAATTAAATTTTTGAATTAAGTTTTTTCCGAGATCCATTTACTTTTGTAATTTAAAAGCAACTCATTTTAAATTTTCGCCCGCTGGAAGCGCTCTCTAGCTTACCGCGGTGGTGGCAAAAAGTATTAATATTCACTAATAGTTATCAGTAATTAATTTAAAATTATTAATTGTTATTAGTAGCTTTTTAATTGATGGTTTCCATCACCAATGTATGACAATATTTAATACAATGATATTTATTCTGGGCTTCCAGCGTTTTTCTATATTAAAAAAAAAATTTGAATAATTTTTTTTTCGAGATACATCTATTTTTGAAAATGGGTAGTCTACTAAGTAATTTAAAACTAATTTTATATTGAAATGCTTCAAACTAAAACACTTTTCACAAAGCTCCGTATGAGTTAGGGATAATGTATTAACTGAAAAAAACCATATTTGTTGCGCCTACTAGCACTTGATTTAAGATTTATTTGAAAGACAGAACGGTAAGCTATTAAGAAAACCTAAACACAAAGTGTGACAGTGAGTGACATTTTTTAAAACCTTAATAATGTCCATACATACATTAAAAGTATGCAGCGGTTACTTTATTAAGGTAGTGACAGTACAATAATAATAAAAACTAACCATTATTCGTTCCAGCCATAACGTATGACAATATTTAATACAATTATAGTCAAAAAGTAAGAATAAATTAATAATAAACATTGTAAGAGAAGCAATACCTTTACGCGCAATTTATCAACAGGAAGCAAGTAAGTATAATTCCTAAACTTTGAATGGTTACCTGATAAAAATTCAACAGATTTAAAGGTAATTTAAAGATGTTTCATTATCTACAGATATTAAAGAATTCAAAATTCCCTTAATTTGGTCGAAATAAAACACTTACTTATTTTGAATTTCTTCGCACTAGAAGCGCGCTCTAGCCTACTGTGCATAGCAAAGGTTATCCAAAGGTTTACGACAAGTGGTTGTATTTTGGGATGTAAATGTCACAAAACTCCTAGAATAAGTTTGATTTCAAGAGAACTTTTTTATGTTATTTTTATAAGAAAACATCCTTCAGTTATAAAAAAACTGCATTTATAAATGCAAAATAAATAATGATTTTACACATTAGACCAAATTTACTGTTAAAAGTGACTAGGTTACATTTTAAGTATCTGAATGATTTTTAAAAGTAAATTTACTTAATAATAGCGTAATGCGTTTTAAAAATAAATAGCCAACTTCAACATTACCCTGAGCCGGCGACGGTGATTGTCGGTCCTCATTATTTTAAAAAATCATACAAATATTGAATCGGCAGTTAATTTTAATTTAAAAAAAATATTCGTAAAATAGTCTTGCCGAATACCACTAGTGATAAAATTTTCCCTGAAAAATGTTTTGATTTTTATTTACTCAAGATTAAACTTTTTCTAGATAAAATTCGAAACATGCATTTTGTAGGCAATTTCTCTACAATTGTTTTTCTTTATACCAACTCTCTAAAAGTACTCACTGGTGATATATTAAAGAAAAACCCAACATTTTAACTTTTTGATTTTTATTTTAAACACCCTGTAACTTTTTTCTAATTAAATTTAAATCAATAATTAAATCGAAAAAATGCGTTTTGTAGACAATTTAATTCTCTACAACCCTTACTGGCGAGTTACAAGCGATTCTCTTACCTGGTGTTTCGGATTTTTGTCGTTCAAGTTGTGCTTGGGCGTCTTTGAGGAGAACCTTTGTCTTTTTGAGGTCCCTTTTAAGTTTGATGAGCATTTGTTCTTCGCCTTGGCGGTCGGATCGTTCGTTTTCGAGGGCCTGCGCGAGACGGCGTTCCAATTCGTGTTTCTCGCGCAGCAGGAAGGTTCTTTCTTCGTGCTCGTTTTCAAGCTGCATTTCAAGAGCTACAAAAAAATGTTAACAAACTTGTTGAATGGAAAAAAGTGAACAAACCTTTTAGTTTCTTCTGGGTGTTGCAGCGGACTTCCTCCAACTCCTCGTCGCGCATTTGGGCCTCTTTTTTCCCCTCTTTTCTAAGACTTTCCAGATTCATCTCCAGTCGTACTTTGGTAGCTTCCAAAAGTTGTACTTGTCCAGCTAAATCGTCCAATTCTTCCTCTTGATCTTGTAGGCGACGTTCGCAATCGATTTTTTGTTTCCGGAGGATGGTAACTTCCTCTTCCGTTTTGCCACCGGAAGTGATTTCGTCGAATTCGCGTTGGAGGGAGTTTAGTTTTTCCTCTTTAAGTTCTAGTTCCAAGCGTGTATCCGACAAGTTGCTTTCCAGGGTGTATTTTTCCGCTATTAAGACTTCTTTTTCTCTTCCTAGTCGTTCTTTATTCTGTTTTTCCTTTTTAAGTTCGTCGTGCATTAGTTGGGTATCGGAGTCAAATTTTCTCTGTTTTTTCTCCAATAGATTGTTTCTTCCACTTTGTTCCTCCAAGAGTAATCTTAGATCGTTCATTTCCCCATTCAATTTCTGAACTTTTCTCTTCCATTGGCCAACAACTTGACGTTGTTCTTCAACCTCTTCATAGGAATCTGATAGTTTTTTCTCCAGTTGCTTCTTAAGACCTACAAGTTGCTCCAAATCGTCTTCATGTTGCTGTTGTAGTCGTCTTTTGGTAAATTCCAACTCTCTAATCACACGTTCATATCTCTGTTTGTACACATCATCACCTTCCGCTTCTTCATCATCTTCCACAATACCGTTTAAATCTGATCTTGCATAAAGCAACTCCATCTCCAATCGTTCGCTCCCTTGCTGCAACTCTTTATTTTTATGCTGAACTTCAGATAACTCTTTCTCCAATTTAATGCGTTCAGATTGTTCAGCGTCTAACCTTTCAGCTGCCAGAGTTGCTGTCGAATGCTCCTCAGCCAAATCGGCCGTCATTTCGCTTAGCTATAAAAAATAGGTTAGAAAACTCTTCTAAATCTTAAAACTAGGTAAAATGTATAGTCTATAAGGAAGACCATCAATAAAATAGAAGAAAATATTTAAAAAATCAATTTGTTGTTTCAACTACTCGGGTATAGTACAGTTTATGTATAAATTCTTTGATTTTTGGGTAAAATTATCAGGATGAAGACATTATTTCTATACTATCTATTTTTGAAAAATCAAAAGTGGCCTTTTTCAATATAAAAAGTAGATAGCATAGATAAAATGTATAGTCTATTAGATGTGTTTTACTTTTCCAAAGAGAAAAATAGTATACAGAAATTAAACAATTTAAAAATACCTCGTCAAATTCAGTAGCATCATCGTCAGGAAAATCTCTTGCTACAGATAGAGAACTCCCCGAACAAACCGAATTAGCTCTACTGTAATACTGAAACCCCTTTATCATAATGTTTGTAGCACTTCTGGATTTCCCCAAACTACAACTATACTCCTTTTTACCTAGGGACTTCCATTCGTCCATCACATGATCAGTACGTTTTAAAAAGTCCGAAATCTTACTCGATAAAGCATTACTTTGCATGTCTTTGTCTTGATGCGCCGGTATAGGTTTGAAATTATGCTTCATCTTTGATTTACAACCCAATATAAAGGTTAAATTAGCGTCAAAAACTACCGAAGAGTCATCTTTATCCTCCAAATCATCCAGATTTGATGCTATAGACGTTTGCGGAAATACACGACGCGGTGGTAGACTCAAATCCACACTCCTAGACCTAACTCCATAACTATAATCCGAATAAACGTTTGGTGATCTTCTAACACTTCTAAAATATTATTTTATGAAGGAACTCGTAATAAAACCAAAAAACCTCACCTAAGATCCTCACTACTACCATCATTATATATCGACAAACTTCTTAACGGTCTACTTTGAAAAGCAATAGGCTTTTTATTGTAATTATAGTCCAAACCAGCCATACTGGAATTTCGTTTAACATTTGTCACCCTATTAGGTGCAAATGGAGGTAATCTAGCCCCCAAGTAAACCGGATTTGAACCACCTTGACCGCCGTAAGGGTATGGTTCATGGTACGGGGAGAATTTACCGTGATTGAACATTTTTAGGATGTTTTAGATCATTTTTATGCACTACCGGTGGTTGTACAACACAACTGAGAATATATTATTATCTTTTACCGAATGGTAAAAGCAAAGTCGGCTCGATGTCCATACCACCCTAGATCGAAAGTAGAAAACCATAATTATAGGAAAAAACGCTAGTCAACAGCCAAGATTAAAAAATAATTCCTATGTAAATTTATCCGCTGAATCCGAAAATGCTTTTAGAAGTTATGAAAGTAGTACAGTTTTAAGATATAGACTATATTTCATATTTTCCATAATAAAAAGGAGCTTTTTAATACCAGTTGGCGGGTGCAATTTTTTTTATACAAAATTAAAATATTAAACTTTTTCCATCAAATTATCAGTTCACTAGCTATTTAAGAAGTTTTTGCCGATATAACAAATTTACACAAAAATCATGTTTTACTATAAAATATTGCCAGAATATTTTTTAACGTAATATATAGCAAATAAAATAATACATTTCTTTAAATCTGATAAAAATGCAGGAGACATTTAAAAATGCAAGAAATCAAGTACGTTTATTTTCTGTTGATTTTTTTAGTTACCCTTGGATACTGTGTAGAGATGTAACTTGAAAAAAAAACGATCCGGTTTTTTTTTTGGTTTTTTCACTGGTTTCTTTTGTTTTATGTTTTTTTTCAAGTTTAGTTTCATTTGACTAATTTTATATGTTTCCAGTTCAGTTCATAAACTAAAATTTAGCCACTTAATGACATTTACTAAATATAAATACAGTTACGCGCCATCACCACCGAATTGACCAATAAGGGCCGAGCTTTCCACCTGCGGCGATCAGGCGTCAGGGTTTGTTTTGATTTGGTCTTAAAAAAAATTAACTACCTATAATAGACTTCAAGAAGTTTTTTTACATTCTTATTTGTTTCTTATGTGTAAACTACCAAATAATAATAAATCAAATTTTTTAGTCTCAGTAAAAATTTGCAATAATGGAAAATGTAATATATTCTAAATTTGAGGCGTCTCTAATAAGAAATCAAATTTTTTAGTCTCTATATTCTAAATTTGTAAAATAAGCCTAACTAAAAAAATAATGTTTGTGGTTTTTTTCTAGTTTTTTTTCAAATCTGAAAAAACCGTTTTTTACATCTCTAATACTGTGGTCAATATTCATTTAGCGTTATAACAGTGACTAGACTGTCCACGTAGGTTAATTACCGTCAAGTTAACAAAAATTTGTTTTTTTATATTTTGACCCTCTAAAATTGATAGCAAGAATGTTTTTTTTATAAAAAAACTAAAAAAAATTCAGAAAGTTTTGACCGAAAATTTAAAGGTCTACATTTTTTGTTTTAACACTTTTTTCGACCAATGGGAAACGAAATTAAACTTAAAAAGAAAGAGGGGAAAGCGCCAAAGGGAATTTGACATTTTACCCCTTAGACCACCAGAAATAACATATCCAAAATCCAGTCAGTTCGGATTTTTTTTCGATGTACACCTTTATTTTTCCACAGATTGACTGTAGGTACCAATATTCCAGTATCAGTAGTGGGGAAGCGATTGTAGGAGAAGAGAAAAGATCAAAGATGGGGGATCGATCGATAATATGAGGATCTTCTGGAACCGGTTGGTGATATAAGTGAAGTAGACGCGTTAAAGAACACGTATAGGTGCTTCTTAGTGTATAAAAGTTAAATATATTTTTATCCTTTAATTTACATAGTTAAAACGGTTCTGCAAGGGTTACACAAAGAATCTCCAGGATACAATCTAAATGCATTTTTTAGTCTTTCTGTGAATTCACGCGGCTACTGTAAACATATGCAAAATAAGAAGACTATAGGTGGAATCTACTGTTAACCTTTAAATACGTAATATTAACTAATTATAAATCTGCTCTAAATTTATCCCAAATCATAGGAAATTCTGGCGAATCGAATATAAATCAAGAAACGCAGTTCGTCCATCAAAACAATGTAAAAATAAACAAAATAATGACTTTCTATAAATAATAAACAATTTAAATAATTGTTCGTATGTGAACCAAGAGAAAAAACCGTAATTTTAAATAAAAATTTCATATTTAACTAAAATTAACATTTTATAATTAATAAATAATTATTTTCTTACTAAAAAAAATGCACTTTCAAAAACAAATATATTCAATTGGCAAATGTCCACATTAAAAAAATAGTTTTGTAACATTATATTGTTAAGTAATTGTGCCAAACTAAAACTGGAACAAAATCGTTGGAGATTAAAATAGAATGTAGAAAAAAATGCATTCAATGCATATTGTTTCTTTTAAATTTTTAGTGCAGGTTTTTTGGATATTTCGTATATACCTATGTATATAATATATAAATATGTAATATTTATATGTAATATATATGTATGTATTAGAGTGTGCCAAAAAAACTCGATATTTCTTTTTTCTTGCTCTCCACCCAAAATATCGTAGAATATGTCCGAACAAATATTCTGTTAAAAGCGGAGCTCATAATTTCAATTTTAAGAGGTCCCTCATCGAATCTGAAGTTTTGCCGCTTAAATAACACAGAAAACTGACTTTTTTACCTTATTTATTCTTGCAACCTAGGAAGAATTTTTTTTTTCAAAAAATCCATGACCAAATCTTACAAAGCATTAAATTTGGACGAAAAAATCTTATTAAGCCGAATTTCTATTTTCATTATTTGATTTTTTATAGAGCTTTAAATTTAAAATTTTACGTTTTTTGCCTTTTTCAGCTCAACTATTGAAGTTAGACGAAAAAGTCAAATGGCAATTTTTTAGCTTGTCTGATGGACCACAAAAAAGTTTTAGGCGAATTTTTTGTATCGTCAATATTCTTAAAGTTACAGGCGTATAAATTCATCATTTTTGTATTATTAACTTAAATTTAAAGCTCTGTAAAAAATCAAATAATGAAAATAGAAATTCGGCTTAATAAGATTTTTTCGTCCAAATTTAATGCTTTGTAAGATTTGGTCATAAATATTTTGTAAAAAAAATTTCTTCCTAGGTTGCAAGAATAAATAAGGTAAAAAAGTCAGTTTTCTGTGTTATTTAAGCGGCAAAACTTCAGATTCGATGAGGGACCTCTTAAAATTGAAATTATGAGCTCCGCTTTTAACAGAATATTTGTTCGGACATATTCTACGATATTTTGGGTGGAGAGCAAGAAAAAAGAAATATCGAGTTTTTTTGGCACACCCTAGTATGTATATATGTATATTATATAAAGTTATATTTGGGGTTAAAAGTCTATAGAATTCTGAAGAGATATTATGCACACATCGAAGTCCGCGCTCCTCTATTTTACTTTTTATCTTTTTTACCATCAAGATCAGTGTTGTTCCGTCTACTACATTTGTAATAGTTCTATTACAACGGCCAAAGATCTATTACGTTATTACAAAATTAATAAATCTATTACATTTTCAAGATATGTTTGTTTTTTTTTCAACAACAATTATATATACAGTTTGACCCATTTGTTTGCGATTTTAAACGGATTTGTTTTAAAGTGTATTTTTGGAGCAAAAAACGCCATATTTGTACAAAATACAAGGCCTACTATGTTAGTTTTAAAAAGTAAATTTTTAAGAATTTATATTAGCGATTTTTTTAAACAAAATCTAAGCACGGCACTGGATTCACCACCCCTCAAAACGACCCTTTACTAAATTTTATTGAAAAATTTGAAGTAGAAAAATGCACAATAATAACTACAAAAATTTATTCCGTCAAGTTATCCATGAAAAAAAACAGTACCATGATAAGTAAGTACCTGTACAACTTTATTATTTTATCGATATCTGTTTTTGTTAACAAATATTTAAATAAAATCTTTATTCACAAAACATGCATGATGTCTTTGGATGATTATAAAAAACCCTTTCTTTATTTTTATAATGATAGGTAGTTAAAAAATGGCGATCTATTACATTTTATAGGGATCTATTACTTTTTTCTGTAAAATCTGTTACATTTTTTTTCCCGCTGGGAACAACACTGATCAAGATATACCTAGATATGTTTAACCCATCAAAATTGTCACAATGAATTCCACCAAAATCTAAAAAAAATACCACAAAAAAATGTTCAATCACTTAAGACCAACAAAGCCTTATGTCCGGTGTATTTGTATCACTTGCGGTCGCATTTTCTTAAACACTTGTTATATCGACAGATGCTTTTTAAAAACCTGTTTTGTGCTTGCAAGTGCTGAATAGAACCGTAAACGAAATTTAAAGCGGTGTGAAATTTTATTGACGCAGTAGAAAACTGAAAATAACCTGTATTCGTCTGAACAAGATTCGTTTTAACATTTATAAATGGATAAGGAAATTGAAGGAAAAAGTTGTCGCGCCTTTCTTGGACGAAATCGAACGAACGGTTTTTGTTCCGTTTTGATGTAAACGCGAATTTCTCTTGTGCAAATCATTTCGGTAACAAGTACAGAATAATTACACTGGTCAGCAGCCATTTTGCTGTCAATTCAACCATTTTTCAGACAGAAATGACAATCAGGCCAATTCACTAACATAAGTCGTTAACGATAGCCACTAGAATTAGTGGTTATCGTAATATTTAATCGACCTAATTGGCCGGTTTGGCAGATAACCACTGATTCTAGTGGCTAACGTTAACCACTTCTGTTAGTGAATTGGCCTGAATATATATTTGACGAGATGTTTTTAAGTTTAATTTTAAAAATTGCCTACCTTTGCTTCCAATTTGTCGTTGTCATGTTTTAAACTTGTCCTTTCATTTTCAATTTTTTCTAGTTTTGATTTTAAGGCTTCCAATTCTTCCTGTAAACAAAAATAACATAACCTACAAATCTATTTTTTTTATTTCATATATTATTTATTTAAAATTTTAAGTGATTAAACAATTTTTTAAAATTTCTCTTATATAGAAAACATGTTTTATTTATAAGGTAGAACATTCTTAAACTTAAGTTAGCCTTGACACTCAAATAAATGAGGAATTTAAAAAAA